ATAAGCAATCCTGAAAAATATTTGGGGGTGCTTAACTTTTTTCCAGGTGTATATATATCCTAATACTTTGTAATGTTGAGTAAAATTTCTTTTTTGTAACATATAGTTTATGATTATTACCGTATTTGATGGCATATAGGACGCATGGGTATATAAGACGCACCCCCATTTCAGTAGGTCAGATTCAGGAAAAAAAGTTTTTAGTGTATTTAAGCATATATTGGTGAAAGTAATCTAACAGCACATTACACAAGCAGAAAACACTTAAACATAAACTAAAACACAGTAAGAAAATGGGGATACACTTTAATCATCTTCATAACCAGAAAATTGTTCATCTTCAAAACCAGAAAAATCTTCATCTTCGTCACTACTGCTGGAATCACTGACTTCAAATAACACATTATCTTCTGTGCCATCAAGAGCATTGCTAATGCCACACTTCTTAAAAATCTTCACAATGATTTTAGGCCTAACGTCATCCCAAGATTTCTTCACCCACTCACACACTTGAGCAATGGCGGGCCGCTTCATTCTTCCTGTGGGTGTGAGGTCATGATGTTTCTGAAGGGACAAGCATTCCCACTTTTAAGAGATAGACCTTCCATCCTTTAACAGAATGCTGAAAATTCGACTGCATCTGGCCTATGCAAATTTCCTATTTCTTATTTCGTAGTTGGAATGCTGTACTGATCGTATGCTAGGATAGTGAGTGTTAGGAAGAAGATTAGCCTGCGGAAGGTCTCAACTTTGCATATTAGACGCAGGGCAATTTTTTGAGCCAAAAGTTTGCCGTCAAATACGGTACTTATTTTTTTTTTAGTTTTTGAAGTCATAGCATTAAAAAAGCAGGTATATTATAAGCTCCTTAATAATTAAAGGGTTATTTTTTCGTTTTGGGGATATCCTTTTAAATTCTTGTTTTTATGTTTTATCTAACAAGCAATCTACATGCTTTGCATAGTAAATATTGTGTTTAGGAAAGACAGATTTTGTATGTACATTATGGTGTGTGTGTTAACATATTTAGCTTGAACATTCTTCATATATTTATGGTTTACAGGGTCATCAACAACTTCAATATTCCATCACTGGAACAAACCCAGAACCAGGAAGCCAGACATTCAGCTCTTCTGACTTAGATGCTTTGGGATTGTCTTTGGAGCTTGGTAAGTTTTCTGATTTATGAAATTTTATAAGCACTTTTTTGTTTCCCTGTTGTTTTAGGCTTCTGTATTTGAATATATAAACGTTTAAGTGTTTAATTGAATAATTCTTGCAAAGAAAACTTTAGTACTTTACTTAAACATTATGAGAATTATTTTCATTTAAACATCTTGGTTTTTAACTTAGCAACAGCACACTTTATATTCTTTTGTTTTTCATGCGTGTCAGTTTACCTTTTGACTTACTCAGATTAGTGGGGTTGTGTTTATGTGTTTAAAACTGTGCATACGTTCTGTATACATTGGCATTTATTTTATGGAAAATACTGAATCAGTCACAGAAAATATTAGGAAGAAAAAGTGTTTGAACTACTCTACATTTTTTTTAATGCTTTATTTGTATTTCGCCAAATTACATGCCAAAATCAATTTAATGAATCAACAACAAGGGTGAAGAAATTTAGTTTTAATATTGTAATGTAATGATTACAGAGCCATGTTTTTCAGTTACGAAACCTGCTATATTTTTGGGCCAAAAAGTTGAAAAATATTAATTTCAAATCTCAATGCAGTAAATCAAAAAAGTATCAAATATAGAGGAGCTTAAGTTCTTTATAAATTGACCAATAGGTGTGTTATACTTAACTTAAACTAAAAGTACTGCAAAAGTAAGTTCAATCTACCTAGTACAAAAATTAATCATTTTATGTAACATAGTTGGCTACTCTGTTTTCTCCGAATATATTGCTCGGAAAGCAAAGCGGTATTGTTTCAGAAACTTTGGATAACTTGTTTTTAAAACAAAAAGTTTAGAATTTCTTTCTTTAGTCCAGTGGAAATTCTTTTAATTTTCTGATCATTTTACTAAGAGTGTAACATCATATTACCATAAAAAATAGGAATTCTTTGTTAAACTTCATAATGTTTTATCAATTGTATATTTAGTAAAAAGAAAGATTCTGAAAGTATAAAATTCTAGTAAAGATGTGGTATTTAAAACTTTTGTGCTATCTTTTATCTGATTCTTTTCTTGAATCTCTCTGAAAGAAACATCTTCTATTATCCAATAAAATGAGTTGTTTTTATTAGTCCAGTTTTTGTTGCCTTTAACTATGTAAACCTGAGGACTATATTTCAAAACAGTGTAGCATTTACTTAAATATTTAAATAATATAAATAAAGATAAGAGTCTATGAGTCAACTTCTGCCCCATGACTTTTTTTAACATTCTGCACATTGTTCCAGGAGAAAGCAGCAATGGCCAACAAGGCATGCCTGGATTGTTCTCACAGTCATTACTTAGCATAAGTGGCAACCAAGACACCACGATGCAAATGATGACAGTAGAAAGAAATAGTCCAAGGGTAAATTATCAGATTTTATTTATGGGTAGTTAAATACAGGTCACTCATAGCCATATAACTTTTTGTGTACACAATTTATTTTTAAATCTGTAATGAACAGTTGTTTCTAAAAAGACTTTGTTTTTATCATTATATGCATAGATAAGGATAAATCAATGTGTATCTTACTTTATAGTAATGTGAATGTCATCTTTAAAAGCCATAACTAGTGACAATCCAACTTCAGCATACATGATATCAAAAGATCTGTTTTCTACTAGTTAATAATGTAGTGACCACTAGAACCTCATTGACAGTTCCAGCTAGAAGGAATGGTAAGGGAGTAGAGCTATGTTACTTTAACCTAAAATAATAAATTTGGGTATTTACAGATATTTTTTTTCAGGACATTGTTTACTCTAAACACTAGCTCAATATTAAGGTGTCTTCTGTATTCATGTTGATTAAAGTGACTTCTGTAATAAAAAAGTTCTATTATAGCCAAAACTCAAATAAGCATAATAATGGATGATACTGTACAATAAATTTGACTTAGTATCATTAGGTTACAGCTACACAAAAGATACTAATTTTACAAGAGATAAAGTATATGTCAAACATGTAGCATGTCCAGTCCCATTATGGTTTGGGGATAAACTCTGGATTAACATGATGTATTTTAGGGGTGGATTAAAATAATTTATATATATTAAATCTGTGATTTTTTTTATTTTGTTGGTATTTTATTCATAACTTGAACTATTTAAATTAATGATTTCAAAAACTGTATCAGTCACTACATGCATGCTGAAAAATGTGGAAATATGATAAGAGGTAATGGATTTTCTTTATTCAGAATAAATATGAATAAATACTAGTATTTATAGTTAAACACAGTTTGGATTATCATCTGAAATGAGGGAAGAAAATGTACACTCTGATATAGAATTAAATTCAACAATCACTGGTGGTTAACTTTAAATTTTTTCCAACAAAATTCTAGTTTTTTTCAATTACATCTTACTTTTGATGAGTGCTGAACATGATGCTTAGCTTTTGCATATATTCCAAATAAGAAGAGAACATCTAGAAAATTATGTGATTTTAAAGGTAAAAATTAAGAAAACATTTATTTTGTGATAAATGTTTGAAGTTTGATAAATTAAGATTTCAAATAATGAACAAGATTCGTGACAAGAAATAGCTTGAGCATTATATTAAAGTATGGTGATCTCCTTTTTGTGACTCTCTGTACACTGGCTTGAATATAAATTTTCCAGATGATAAACGGAATGATCACAACATAAAAGTGAAAGAGGTATTTTACATAGATTTCTACAAACCACCACTTTGTCAGGCAACTATTCCTATTAAAAAATAACCAAAACCAATATGCTATTATCAGTTTTCAAAATATTGTATTTTGTAATATAATTCTGAATATCAAGCATGTTATGATTGCATTAATATAATTGTTTTCTGGTTTTTTTCAAATGTATATATAGTTATAGTTAAAACTACAAAAAAGTAAGAAAATGTGAAAAATTAGAATCACAAATAAAACTCTAAATCATTTGAAGTAAACTCTGACTTCATACTAAGACTTCATTGTATGTATCTCATAGGTTTTCTTAACTCTGAATAATTAACATTTTACAATCATATATATATATATAATTTTTTAATATTTTTGTATTGAGTGATGTAATAAAGTTCACCAGAGTATTGTAAAACAAATTCCAAGTTTTAACTCTAACAACATTTTTATTCTATTTAGGTTGAAGAGCCTAGACCACCGGAACAAAAGAAAAGTTTGTTACAACAGTTGCTCTCAGCTGAGCCTCCTTAGTCAATTTATGTCTTGGTTTCACCCTTTGTAGAAGTTTAGGTGACATCTGTACAAACAGTACACTCTTTAATTCACAACTCGAACGCTTTAAAAAAACGTTTAAACTTAAAGAAACTGGTGCAGACACGAGAACAAACAAACTTGAATTTGTACGTGCTTCACCCTTCTGTAAATAATCTATCTGTAGAACTTGTTATTAGCTGTATAAGGATGCTTGTGAGATGACTAAATGGTTAACTGGCTGAATCACAAAAATAATGTGCATGCTTCGCTCTCTTTGTGACAAGGAATTTGCGTGCTTACTTCATAATTTTGTGAAAATAGACTATAAAAGATTGGCTCTGAGGAGTTGTGAAGTTTATTCATCAGTGTTTACTACACAGGGAGATAAACTTTTTTTATCTCTGGTGCTCTGGAGTTTTTACTTTACCCTTAAAAATTACATTTTATTGTTAAAACGTAATTAATCTTTATTAGATGTAATTAGCAGACCAATTGCAAGCTCTATTTTCTATGTTTAAATAATGGAATTAGTTTATATGACAAAGGTTGTACTGTCTTTCAACAAATATTACTCTCTTTTTTTTTTGAAGATAACTTTACACTGGAATGCTTGGATACTAAACTGTATCCAAGTTTAATAACCTAAAACTAAAGCGATGTTGTTTATTTTCAATTTTCTGTCATAACTTGGATAATAATTTTAATATTCTCTCTTTTTTAAGATGTCCTTTTTTTGTTTGCTTTAATCGTCAGCTTCGGGTAACATTGGCAATCTACAGAACTACTTTGTTTACAAGCTTTACTAAAACTGCAATGCACAAGAAAGTGGCTAGTGCTGTCTGTTTTTAGTCAAGTATATGTATGCTCATGTAATTTGTATATGATACGAGTGTGTATAACTGATGTTTTTCTTGTGCATTTGTATGCATGTATATATGAATATATATATAAGTAACCCAACATTGATTGAGAGTGTAGCCCCTGAGAATGATTAAACAGACCATCTCTGTAACAAAATGCTATTTTATTCTTTTTATATCATTCGTCCTATACCTTACGACATATTTCCAAGTCCTGTCTTTTAATTCTTGTCACTACACTTAATGAATATTATTTAACTGTTCTTATGTTTATCGTCACATTCCATAAGAATATATTTCAAACATGAAGATCTGAACCAGTTATATTTTTTTCCATACCTAGACCACAGGTTAATCCTGACCCATTTGACTGCACACATTGTGCTAAAAATAGACCATCAGCACTGTGCATGTGGTACTTGATAAATTTTTTTCTATTTACTTCTGATCAATGTATCTATTCTTGTAGCAGAATGGAAATTTGGGTTTGTTAAACTGTATTATAATTCATATCACATTAGAAATTGAAGGAAATGAATATTTTATGCTATAATATTTTGTATCACTGTCCTATTCTTCAAGATTACATTCTGAATATAAACTGCTTATAGCTGAAATAACAACTAGATAATTTTGAATTGGGCAATTATTTCCATTTAGTTTCTTTTCCAAAAATGTATTTCACTCTTGTATCATAAGTCAAAAACTTTATTGAACTAACTTAAATAGTTTTTATTGATTAAGTAATCTCTTCTTTTTTATTATTATTATCAGTGAACCTGGGAGTGAACTATATTCCAATGGGTTGTACATTTTGAAGTCTTGAACAAGATAGTGTCAAATAATCTCAATTTGTTTAATAATTTTTAATGAAAAATATATTTTCAAGAGGATTGTTAGGATTTATCTTAGAAACTTTTGATATATATATATATATCAGTACATTAATTTCAGCAGATTTATTGGATCTTTATAATTTTAGGTTTTAGGAACTGATTGAACTTTGTCTCCCATATTTCACCTCCAATATATATATATATAGATAGATAGATAGGCTAGAATTATTATTTATGTTGATAATTAGTGTATTAACTTAAAAGATTTCTGTCAGTTATTTTTAGCTGAAAATACTCCTTTTTTTGTCTTCCATGTCACACTGGACAACATATTTAAATTTTACTGGCTTGCTCAATGAAACTGTTCTATTTGAAGACTCCTATGTGACAATGCATTCAGTCATAACCTAAAAAAAAGAAAGACTTACTTTACCACAAATAATGAAGTACAGTGGACATCATCATCAAAAAAAGAGCAAGGTGATGACAAAATGCTTACATGAAAGTTGCAAGATCTGTATTTAAAATACAGAAATACTAAATTATTAATATTGTGTATAGTTTCTTGGTTATAATAATATTGTGCTGCATAATGTGAACAAAATAACTCAAATATTTAATGAGAAAATAGGTTTAAAAAGGTGGTGAATAATTTTCTTAATCATCAAACAGAAGTGTAGACAGTTACTATGATAAAAAAAAGTTCTGGTTTTTTTGTTCTAGGGGCTTCAACTCTCAAAAGACTAAAAATCTACATATACTTTAATAATGTCTAGATGTTGAAGTGTATTAAGTATTGTAAGGATTAAATAATTGGAGTTTCAAGTAAGTAATTTGAGTATGTTAAAACTATAGAATGTTGACTATTCTGTGACAATTTCACATCATGTACACTTAGAATAGTACTTGTGATGAATAGCTGCTGAAACATGATAAAGAGAAGAAAACACTGTCTTTGCTGCTACCTCAGGGTTTTATAAACTTTTTGTTGATTTTTCTATAGTTAATAAGTTCAGTTAACTAATCTGAGTTCACCTAGTACAAAGTTAATATGCCAGTTGAATTCATCTGCCTGTGAAAGCTTTTTTTTTTATTTCTGGTTGGATTTTTTCCATTATTTGAAGAAAAAAAATACAAAAAAGATGTGATTGCTTTAATGTAAAAAAATATATAAATTTCGATTTGGAAAAGATTACTTAACAAGATCGCAAGTAGTATGTGGAAAAAAACTATAAACTAAAAAAATTGCTTTTATGTAAACTTATTTTGTTATACAGATATTGTTTTTGAGCTATCTGTTGTGCTTTTTGTTAAGAACTACAAAATTAATATTTGAGTATTTAAAATCGTTCTTTTGAATGTACCTGCTTTTTTTGTGTGTGACTTGTGCTGTATAGCAAGCTAAGTCCAGAAGAAGTTATGCCTTGACATGTTATGTACATAAAATAGAAATATATATATATATTAACCCATTTTGGAAGTTATTAACTTTAGGTGTGTTTACATTTTTACATTGCAAGTCTGTAGAAAAGAAATTGTTAGCAACTGTTGTTTGGGCTGTTTTTGTTGGATTGGTTCTTTCGTGTTTGTACACGTGAAGAACAAGATATTAGTTTAAATCGTGGTGAAATACTTCACATTAAGTTAATATGGAATTGTACAGCTCTAATTACAGTATATGTAAAGTTGAAGATATACCTGTACATTTTATATATATGTATATCTATATAGATAGATGTAATGGCACCACCATTGATACAGGTGAGAGAGTTTGTTTTTAATCTCATACTATAAAAAGTAAGGTGTTGATTGAAACTGGTCTGAGAGCCTTGTATCTCAGTTCTGCCAGTCAGGATCATAAGGCGTTCCATGCTAGATTAATGTCATAATTTCCCTCCTGGCTTTAGTTGTGCAGGGCCTTACCATTTCATGATCATGTCTTTGTTAACTTAAGGAAAGGTAATATTTTTATAACCAACATCATTCAGATACCTTTCTTATAGCTTGAATATTCCTGATACCATTGGTTACAACAAATTAATTGATTGTAGAATTGGATTTTGATATTCGTTATTTTTCCAAAAATATGAATTAGATGTACATTGAGTTTGTCTGATGGCTTGCCCAAGCACTTAGAATGTGGTCAGCTCAACTCAGGAGAGTTTACTTTTATGGAGTGTGGGATTTTTGTGACAAGTTTAATTTGTTTAGATAAACATGTTTTCTAATTTGTGTGAGCTTTCAGATCCTATTTAAATTATTCATGTAGTCTTGTATATTACTGTTATATGAAGATCCGTCGTTTCTTTGAATCTTTAACAGAGGTGCATACATATATTGTTGTGTTATAGAAAGTTAAAAAAAAAAACCAGACTGGGTCAGAGGGTTGTGTTAATTCTTTTTAACTGAATGTTGGGTTGATTGAAACACTAGTTCCTGTTTGTGTTCACTTAACCCTGTAAACAAATATATGCTGTCTTGTAATATTGAAGATGGGTTTATAAAGCAGTTTTATTTGAGTCTTGAGAGTGTTTTTATTTTTCAAGATAACTGTGGAGTATTTTATTAGCAGCGTGAAGCTTCATGGTTTGCTTGTGTTTGATAATCCGTATCAGTTAAGCTCCTCAGAATTTAGCAAATGTTTATAATGTGACAAAAACTGTACAAAGATATCACACACAGAAACGCATTTGGTTTTTATGTAACTTAATTTTTTAGGAGACAATTGAAAATCCAGTTGGTCATTAAAATCTAATACTTGTACAGACTACTGACAGTTTCAAGTGGTAGCCCAGACTTTACTGTGAGAAAGTAAATTTTATAATTTTCAATCAATATTGTATTATATATGCAATTATTTAAGCGTGTACAGCTTTAAAAAAATCCAGAATATACATAACACTAAATTCTGGCTTTTAATGAAACAAGTAATGCTTTTGGTGAAACTATATTTAAGAATCTACCTAAAGAATGAATCCATGTTTGGATGAAGAACCTTATTTTAAGGGCACTACACCTTTCTAACGTGAATTTTAATTTATTGTACAGCTTTTTGTCATACCACAAAAACACTTGGATAAAGTATTAATTTTAGACGGCATTGTTGCGTAGTATATAACCCACCAGAGGGCTAGAAACACTGGGCATGCTCCAGGTATAGGTGAGACGTATGAAATCCCTTCTTAATATTACCTTTCATCAGAGCAAGCTACTTACCTTGAGCACAATTAAGGTTCAACGTGGCATCGGTAATGCCTATAGCTAATTAAACATGCTTTTCTTCTCATTTATAATATTAGAATACGCTGTTTCATTAGTACCCGCACTGTTAATATTTTTACCTTGAATCCAATAAGATCTCACGATGTCCGGTAAGCTTAGGAGATTTAACTTAGTCTTAAACAGACAGGTAAATAAAACACTTAAAAAAAAAAAAGAGGAAGTAAATGTAGGGATGGCTAATATAAATCCTTCAAAAAAATGCAAACAAGATAGTAGAGATGGCATTTGCGTCATCCCTACATAATAGCACAGACAAGAATTAACATATAGCAATATATATAAAACTATTCAATTACAATTGAGTTTAATTTATCCTATTTTGTCTGTTAATTTGGGGATGATGCAGATGTCATCCCCTATCTTGTTTGCATTGTTTTTGAAGGATTAATATTAACCATCCCTACATTTACTTCTTTTTTTACATGTTTTTTTCTTTACTTGTATCTAAAGAAATGTCAAAACTATGCTAGACGTCCTTCTTATTTGAATTTTCCATACGTTACCTTTAAAAACTGCCTCTACTCGTAACGGCAAGTTTTAATCACTGTCGCATTTTACAACTAAATCTAAGATATTTTAAAATTAGTATTAAATTTTGATTGTAAAAGGGTAGTAATGGACAAGCAGCATGTTATGTTGCCTTAAAAAACGAAACAGTAAATTTACAATGGCAAAAGAGAAGCATACTGTGGTTTGAAAATATCACATCTTACAAATGTCACAATCCTACAGTATATATTCAATACAGTGAAAAAAATTTAACTTTTCTAGAGTTCCACTTTCGAAACTGCTAACTTTGTGATATGTCTCGTGGCATTTCGCCACCTGGTGGCATAACATTAAGTTTGAGAGCTCATAACGTTAAAATTCCGGTGTGCCGCCAAATCTCATCTCCATAGCACATATGCGCATGCGTGATAAGTCTGCTAAATTTCATCCCTCTAAATTATGTATTATACAAAATATTTTACGTAATATTAGTGCTAGTTCTTTCCTCTTTGTTTACTTTTTGAGGGCAATTTAGTTCGTAAATTATAGCTACTTTCACTCAGTATCAACTGACACGTGCAGTACACCATGCTTGTCACTCGTTTTGTCAGAAGAGTTAGTGTTAACTATAACTTTACCATGGTGAAGGGACGATAACAGTATATTATCATTTAAACGGTCTTTCTGGTTCAGTAAAAATTGCGCTTTTCTTAAGTTTATTTGAGTGTATACTAATTATAACGAAATGTTATCAAACGTCATACGTGTTGCAGTATAGCATAGGTGTAGTGTCACTAATACTGTGTAACATACTATTAATTGACTTGTAAATATTACTAAGTGAAATGTGTACTTTAATTGAATTACATGTTAAAAATGTTAGTACTAATATACAAAATTAATAAGCCTACTAGTACTAAATTATACACAACTATCCGTATCAGTACTAACTCTTATTAATATTAGTCTTATGTAAGTACAAGAATTAGTGCGATATTTTCTCTAAGAATCTCCTTCTAATCATTAGATAAAGAGTTCATAATTTAATTTCATTGTTAATAAACAACCAAATGTTAAATAACATTTTAAAAATGAAAATGTTACTTGTTACATGCTCAGTGTTAGTATCACGTAAATTATTGTTACGTCTCCGTTCGTTAATGAATTTTCCGTAAATTCGTTCCGACGAAACTTTAGCGACACAAGTCCTTTTTTAAATAAAACTGGTTTATTCTTTCTGAATATAACTTTGCGATACACTTAATTTCAACAGTCGCGCTATAATTCTCAACGAACGTCTCACGTGCTCGACTTCAACAATACTCAGTTCAATTACACACTCTCTGACTGCAGTTCAATTACTCATTACCTTGTCCCATCACGTTGTGAGCGTCTTATATATACCAGTCTACCCCCAATCTAGTAGTCTCCCGATAATTCATGAAGGTTCGAGAAGGACGTGGCGTGATACTAGTCACGTGACCTCGCTGACGCAACACTGCCCCCTCCTTAGTATTGTTCGTCCCGAACAATAGCCAAAAATTAAGAGACTTTGTTGAATTGTAATTTTGTGTTTGTAATTCTGTACATTTAATTAAGTTATTGTTAATTGTTATTGGTTTAATGTAAACGGGACGTATTTTCTTCCGTACTGGTCTCCGTCTCGATGGCTTCTAACTTCATCAAGAGCTTCACCGTTTCCCTTCTCAAAATTGAGTAGAGTTTCTTCTTCGACAGTGGCTTCTTCAGGTGGCACGTCTTCAAGCAGCGTCATTTGTTCTGTTGTCCACTTCGTCCCAACTGAAATGTCCTGGACCGTGATAACGCCAAAGTCTGTTGGCATGCACCACTTTTGACTTACCTCGCCGACCACATTTGATTCTAAAATTCACGTCTGAGAGATGATCAACTATGTCATATGGGCCTTCCCATGGAGAAGACAACTTAGGAGACTTCCCTTTGGTCTTCCTGGGATTATACAATCACACCTTGTCTCCTGGTTCAAAGCTGACTTCAGTAGATCTCTTATCATAAGATAGCTTCATCGAATCAGCAGACGTTTTCAAGTTTGAACGCACTTGCTGGTGAATATCATCTATCCTTTCCGATAACACTTTCACAGACTCTGACATATTCACAGGCAACTCTTCATAAGGTGGGCGTCCCTTATGCTTGGGTCCCCTTTTAGCACAACATGTACTGCATGTCCTGCACCATTCTTCCACATCTCGCCTCATACCTATCCAGTAAAATCTTTGTCGTAGGTGACTCAATGTTTTCTTAACTCCGAGATGTCCTCCTGTTACAGTATCATGACTACCCGTAACCCGCAGCACAACTACCCGTAACTTCCTCGGTATAACTGTTTGCCAAGTCGTCACTTTCCCATCTCCGTACAAGAATACCATCTGCAAGCTTTAACTGATCCCATTGCACCCAATAGTGCTTTGTCACAGGGCTTAGACTAGACACCTTCTCCCAAGCAGGGTGCACAACACTTGCTTTTCAAAAATCAATCATTGGCTTCAAATCTTGATCTTTCTCCTGCTCTGCTTTAATATCCATACCTGGTTCCACTTCGTCATCGTCAACTTCTTCAGTCACTTTGACTTCATCTTGCTGGTACCTAATTATTTCAACCTC